CTCTCTCTCTCTCTCTCTCTCTCTCTCTCTCTCTCTCTCTCTCTCTCCTGCCTGATGATCTGGATGTAGAACTCTCAGCTCCTTCTCCAGCACCATGTCTACCTGCACACTGCCATGCTTCCCACCATGACAATAATGGACTAAACCTCTGAACTGCAAGTCATCCCCAATTAAACGTTTTCTTTACAAGAGTTGCTGTGGTCATGGTGTCTCTTCAGAGCAACAGAGCACTGACTAAGAAAATCTGCTTCTAATAAAGCTCATTCCACATTGCAGGCTTAAACTTTTTGTTTCGATCCAGTCTCCAAAATCTTCTGGATGAAGTAAACCACGTGTAGAACATAGCACCTCCTTCCCTCCATCTCTCTTGACAACACTTTCCTACCTCGCTCTCATGTTTTAGTGTTCTTCACAGCAGCTCATGTTCCTGCTTAATTTTTTCCATGGCACTTCCTCAACTGACACATTACACACTTTACTAATTTTGTCAGTGTCTGGCCTCCTTTGTTACAATACAAGCTTCATGAGCACAAGAATTCTTTGTTGATTTCAGTCTCCAGGACCTGGGATAGCATCAGATACAGCACTTGATAAAAGTGTTGAATAAATGAATGAATGCATCTGACAGCTCCCATAGAAACCTCTGCAAAGGGAGGGTAGGGGCAATTTTCATGAGAGTGGAGTCCTGGCATGTAAAAGAATAGATATGTGTTATAAATGTAGCTTGCTGCACGTGGGTCCAAATACTTTTATCTCTTTTTATATGTGTGGGGTTTAGGGGGAAAAGACTAAAACTGCCTTGTGTCGTTTAAGAAGACTCTACTGGATATGGTGACACATTTTTAATCCCAACACTCAAGAAGCAAAGGAAGTTAGTTCTTTGTGATACAGGCTAGCCTGGTCTTCAGGGCAAGTTCCAAGCCAGTTGGGATATACAATGAGGCATTGTATAGTAGTCTGGATGAGATGTCCCCTACAGGTTCAGATTTTTGAATACATGGTCCCCAGTTGGAGGTTCTGGGTAGATCTGGGGGAGTGTGGCCTTGCAGGAGGAGGCATGTCACTGGGGACAAGCTCTGAGATGAAAAGCCTTGCATAATTCTCAGATTTCACTCTGCCTCCTGCTTCTGGTTCAAGAGTCAAGCTCTGGCACCCTGGTCCAGCCTGCCGCTTGCCCCTGGCTTCCCATACCTTCCTAAGGTATAAATATTTGTAAGAGTTTTATTTTGACTGCACATTCCTTTTGTGATTAGGAAAAACAACTGCAACGAATAAAACTTGAAATTAAGCAAAGAATGTTTTTCTTTTAAAAAAGAAAGGACCCATGACAAAAGGCTAATGTTAGAAGCATCACAGACATGTAGGAGTAAGGCCAAAAAACCTGACACCCAGTGACCCAGGAATGGGAAGAAATCCCAGGGATGGACATTCAATGAAAGCAAAAGGAACTTTTAAAAAGATGGAGAAAGAGAGAGTTGTACCATGTATGATAAACACAATGGATGGCAAAAGATAAAGATGGCCAGTGATTTCCATCAGGAAAGCTTTGGGGGAGAAATAGGAAGAGCAAGAAAGAGAAAATGTCCTGGGGAGTGAAAGGACAGAACAGGACTCTCTGCTCTAATGAGATTAGTGCTCCTGGGCTAGCTAGCTGGATGGATGGATGGATGGATGGATGGATGGATGGATGGATGGATGGATCGATCGATAGATGATAGATAGATTAGATAGATAGATAGATAGATAGATAGATAGATAGATAGATAGATAGAACAAACTTCAGATAGATAGAATGAACTTCAGATAGATGGATAGATAGATGATAGATAGATAAATAGATAGATAGATAGATGATAGATAGATTATACTTCAGACAGACAGACAGACAGACAGAACTTCAATTCTGTCCTGGTGATATAGGTCATGGAGCCCATGAGAGAGAGAGCTACAGGAAACAGGCTTTGGTTGAATACCAAAGCTGCTGCACATGTTTTGTGCTGACACTTAGCTTTTTCCAGGCGTTTCTATAATAATTCTTACTAAAAATAACGTGATAGCACAATTTCAATGCAAAGTAGATTCTGTGTGACTTTTCCTGGGGACATTTGAACAACTTTCAGTTTATCCCAGATAGAGACACAAGACACCAAAATCAATTCTACTTAAGTTAAGCTTAGTGAACCAGTGAGTTTTTTCAGTGTTACAGGAGCCCTGGTGACTCCAAGGCAGCTGCATCACTAGGCAGCCCACTCCAGCAAGGGTGAAGAGTCATGAAAGCTGCATCTTAAAGCTCCCTGCACAATTGCAGGTGTCTAGGAGTCAACGAGAGTCTCCCTCTTCACCAGCTTCTACTGCTAAGATACTGCTTGGGGAGAGAGAGCCTTGTGGATCTTTACGTTTTAGAAGCTTCCTGGGTCCTGTAAGTTTCATTTACTTCCTGAATCTTATGAACTTCTCTCTGCCTTCTAGTAGGGAATGCTTCAGTTTGAAGAAAACAGCCATGAAACAGGATGATAATGGTGGTGGTGGTGGTGGTGGTGGTGGTGGTGGTAATGGTGGTGGTGGTGGTGAGAATATTCCCATCTTATAAACGAGGAACATGAACTTAAATGAGGTTCATTTGACCCAAGGCACATGACCAGAATAGACTCAGTAGTATCTTGGGAGTCACCAAAAGCAATTCAGGCTAAATTAATGAGAAAGACTCAGGGTCCAGGAAACCTCTGATACTCATGGTTAAGGTTTGATGTATTTTAAAGTACATACCAAAATGTGAAGAGGCAAAGCAAACAGCTGAAGTTATATCAAGTTTCCAGTTTCTCCTTTCAGTGCAAGCACAGGGTTTAACTCTCCTAACACCACCGTTGGCAGTTGTGGGGACTCATCTGTGTGCCAGGGGCCTTTATTGACGGTCAGTCACGTAGATCATGTTTCTGCATAACTGACTTTACTCAGTCTCTAGACTCTAGAGGTCAAAACGATGCTGCAGTGACCTGAGGCCTGAAACATCATTATATTCTTGTCAGGCAAGATATTCCAAGTCTCAGAGGTTGATTCTCCCAAGGGCCAGTTTTTTCTCGAAATGTTCAGGATTTGAGTAAACCAAGCCTGCTGGGTTAACACTTTACTGCACAGGAAAAAGGCTGAGATGAGATCTGGAGCTTGTCTCCTTATAGATTTAAGAAAGCCATAATCCCAGCACTCCAGAGGTAGAAGCAATAGGACTACAAGTTCAAAGCCAGCCTGGAC